ATACTCTTAAATGACGCTATTGGCAGAGAAGATCAATGCTACAGACACCAATTCGATTCTGGACTCCTGCATCTGGGAGTAAATGAGATATTCAAAAACATGTTTTATGGACCATCTCCAATTTTTGGGCACAATTCGCGTAACAGCTGCAGCTAGACTGCAAGTCTCATGGGCAAACATCGCAAAGGTGCAGCATCTGTGATGCGCATTTGAAATCTCACTTCATTAACCCGCTCTTCTTGGACAAGGTGGGCAATGTGAGCGCGTCCTCAACCACAACTCGCATCCGTTCTTTCTTCTTTGAGCTCTCACACCATATCTTCAACGTAGCACTTCGAGAACACTGTATCACGCGTAAGCTGAGCCAGCACACAGAGAATTTGAGCTGCGAATTTTACGTGTATCACCAATTATTTGGAAATGCCGCCTCGATTTTGGTCACAATGAGTTTTATTATATTTTTAAGTGTTCCCTTCTGCGAGGTAAACCGTAGCTAGGTTTGCTAGCTTTGCAACAAAAGCAAGCAGAATGCTCCAGCTCTTTTACTTTTCCCACCATTTCTCCAGATGTCTGGACATGTTTGAATGAGATGACCTAATAATATAGAAACCACTCAAAAATGTATAAACCAACCCAATCATCAGAACGTCGACTTGCATCAAGAGAAGCGCATGGAATGCGCTTCGGTCCCGACGTCTCGGCTTGTGAATCACCAAGAGAAATTAGTGAAGCTGAAAAGAAGAACTTTCACTGGACCTCGGATGATAAATAGAAACAAATGACAATAATGTAACAATGGACTACTCTAATACAAAGAGTTACTTATGTTGTACTCTAGTTGTTGACGGGCGCTTCCAAGTATTAGTGAGATCTTCAGATATGTTACGCGATAGCTTATCGAACTGCGCGATATTTGCGCACCTGAACAAGGTGTACACATACAAAAAGGAACGAAGACCACATATAATTACAACGAACAGAAAGGGTAACCAGCAGATACTCAGATACCCTGGTATTCTTGGTTGCTTCCTCATAAGGTGATGTTGAATACAAGCGAGATCTGAAGAGAAGCAAGGAAAACGCTGAGGCAAAAAGCAGTTTACAAAGTGCCACAAGTCGTCGAAAACCTCACGATTTTGTTGAAGACATATTCGCCAAATCAGCGTCGAAATCCGGAGGAGTTCCTCCGAGCTCCACGTTACATGGAGGACTTCTTGACCTGACCTTCGAGTTGCTCTTGGAACATTTCAATGGGGATACCTATAGGAATTTTCATGCAATTACAACATAAAAAGCGGTGTGGTTTTCGATGAACAAACCTGTGCCACAGTCCTTGAGAAAGGGAGCTGATTGGGAGCGGCAGAGGATATAGGACCCGGGTATAGAGGGGGGAACCTGAAAGTCTCTCATTATGGTGGCTCAATCGCAGCGATAATTTATTTGGACATGCAATTCTATGCCAAGAAGCTCAACAGGTGAGCCCGGCAGTTTTATAAACAGTGAACTCCGCGCCGCCTTCTGAAAGAGTCAAGGATTGACTTTCCCTGCACTATTTGACATAGTATCCTACAAAAAGTGTCCTTAACTGCACGCAAACTTTTCACACCAGCATTTTCAAGCAACTACTTATTTCCAAGGAAACATTGTGCAGTATTGATATCCAAAATCTTTCTGGCTATGTCGTCGAAAAAGCGATATAGCAGACTTCACAACGGATCGACCTCACGACTTCCTGTCCATTATCTCGGACAACTCACACTGCGCGTTTTCGCTTAGTAGCTCCTTTCAGAAAATTATTCAACTGGTATGAAAAGCAGTTCCGAGCTCAGCGTGTCTAGAGAAATGCAACGGTGGACACCTTCTTTCATATAGCCAGGGCGACCCGTTGTTTCCCCTTGGTAGACAGGATGATGAAAGTGAATGTTCTCTATGGAACAGTTTCGGTTTCAGCTGACGATCTAATAACAAATTTAAAAAGAAATGAATTCTCACCTACAACTGTCTCTCGTGTCCACGGGCAAAGGACTGTCAGGAACAATCTGGTCATCTGATTGATGAACTTGCACATCAACGTCTTCAACAGCATAGGGTCCCTCTTCTGCAACTAAGATATGATCATAGAATAGCGGACCAATAGAATATCGATTGAGTAATCAACAAATGACAATTCACAACAATGAAAAAAGCAAGACCTCGTTCGAATTCGGCAGGATCGAAGTCGTAATCTTCATCATGTAGAGGAGGAGCTTCCGGACCGCAATGAATTATTACCGGCTTCATTACAGAATTCCCTTTGCTTAAAAAGCACACCACAGTCATGAAAACTCTTTACGCAAGCATTTACATACTACCACAGGTTAGAAATATGCATAACTTGCCCATTATCGCCTCCTGATTCTAGTTCGCGTTTCTATAGATTCTGCACACTGTTCCTCCCTTTCCGTTAGAGTTTTCTTTCCTAAAAGCCAAGGTTGTTGTCGGCCATGAAAAACTTCTTCAGAAAACATTCGAGATCGAGAGGACCAAAATATTTTTAGACTAACTCAAAAAACATAGAACATTATGGAAGAAATTCAAAGTTTGACCCTATATAAACTCTCACGAGAAAGTCGCCACAATGAATTAAACTTACTTTGAACTGGGTACAGTAATGTTCAGTTTCTCTGCCATTACTCGAAGGGGTCGCCCTGCCATGAACAGGAGACTCACCATCACCCCCTGAAACATCGAACATGGAACAGAAGCAATAAGATTCGGAACTCACATTCGAAGTGTAATCAGTGAGACAGCGAAGGAAAAAGGAATCAAGAGAACCTAGAAAAACTACGAGCAGAATATGAAGGCAGAATGCCGAGGCGCTCGCAAAATCGCATCGCAATATAGATTGGCGGCCGATTTAACGGCAGTTGCGGCGCGATTGTCCTGGGTCAGATTTGCTGAAATCCCGAAAAAAACCGTCGAAATCTACACCCTCGATGAAAAGGTTGCATTCCTCCATTTCATAACCTTTGAAGCAGTTTGAGGTAGGGTTAGATAGAGCAAGAAGTATTGAAATTGCTCTGAAAGCCTTCCATGCAGAAAGATAGGGTCTCTCAAATTTCGTCGAGTAAATGTCGAGGACGCTGAAATTTTCACGCGAGTTTTTGCCACTTCAAGAGCAATATCTCTCTAATTTGTAAGATCCTGAAAAAGGAAGATAGTTTTGGAAAGCGGAAGGTTTGCGCTTTCTGATGGTCTGTTTAGCTTTCTTCTACAGCTTTAGTTGAGAGATATTGCGTCGAGGATCTATCGAGGACGGATCCGGCCACCTGAAAATCCGCTCCCTCATTCACCATTGCAAGTGTGAATTCGTTGGCAACACTCGGAATGTGTCTAGAACAATATCTTTGAACGCAAGCAATAAGAATAGGGGCAATCGTCATCATCCGATTTGGTATTGGTATAAGCCATGCATCCCTCCTCCACTCACAGTTGCAGAATCGATTGAAAGGTGTTATATGATGGGGACCTTCGAACGAAACTGTATTGTAGTAGACATAGTGTGTTGTGCTATTCCTGTAACCTAAAAAACAACTTCATTTGCCCAGCGCCTTTCCTTCACGGTTTTCGTATTTGCGCAAGCGTCTCTAAGAACTGTGGTATTCTCAGCGAGAGCGAGCAAAGGAGAAATCGACAGAGGATGTGCATTTGCAGTGCGTATGATGCGGCGCACTTTTTGCATAAGTGCACTTTCAGGGCAAATGTTTTCAGCAGTGCGAGGAGGCGCTCCAGCGAATCGAATCACGTCCTTCTGTTCTGCCTGCCTAGCAGTGGCCTCCTTGCCTCCTTGTCTCTTTTCATTTAATAACCGCATTTACTTCTGCTTCTTCTCTTCTAGATCTAAATTGTGATCTGATTGAGTGATCTATTTCCTGCATTGTGCAATTTCGGAGCACCTCACGAAACACGAAATTGTGCGTGAACCTCGCCTTTATCATGAAGGTTCGTGCAATGGTACTGCTTTTTGGAATCATCCCTCGCTTCTGTCTCGGTTACGAGCCATCCAGTGTTCAACGAAATATCTACGCTTGGGTTCAAATCTTCTTACGTAACCCAATTCATCGAGCTTTCTCTCAGCGAAGGTTGCAAGGACAGCAGCAGCCGTAAAAAGTTTCACCCTCAACAAATATGGGCTATTGGTCCTTGAGACCACACTGCTATTGGTGAGTTCAAGGAGAATGGTACGCCTTCTCAATGCATGCACTGATTTTGAATCTTCTCCAGAACCTACACCTTGGGCCTGATACCTTCTCTCTGATATCATATGTGGACTTCAATAATCATAAATGGCCACAAGAAGACGGACACTTTGTGAAGAGGTTCTACGTTGTGGGCAGCTCACGAGACGAGAACGTGCTTACTGATTTCCGTTTCTACGACTTTGATGATAGAACAGCAAGGTGTTCCCGCTTCGTCAACTGGCCCAACTGCAACAAACCCGGACAGACATCATGTGAAGGAAGTATGCACTATTTTTCCCCAAAGCCTCAAACCCCTTGTCGCCGTGAACTTGAGTTTCAGATCATTTTTCTCCTAGTCCATTTGAGCACCACTGTGGAATACCAAGATTTTGTCAGCAAGTTTAGCTTCGTCAAAACGTCGTCTGCTGGCAATCCTTCATATGTTACTGACAAAATTCAAGTCTCGCGTTCGGATCAGGAATGGCTTTCAAGCAGGATCAAAAGTCACGTTGTTTTCGCTCCAACTGAAGACACCCGCAGCATGCTCTCGCTGGGAAGGCTTGCTACTCTACTTCCTGGTCAAACTCATTTCTATGTTCTTCCTCCCGACTCGCTCGACGACTGCACTTCAGCGTCCTATTGCGACTCCACTTGGGTGCTTCTCCCGGAGAACGTAACTACTGTACTGGAGAAAACGTCAGGCTGCACCTATCGCGAGTAGAAATATCTCACACAACGCAGCAGCCTACGCAGCAGCCTAGTGTGGACGAAGTGAGCCCCATGGATGCAAGTTCGTACAGTGATTCGCAAGATGAGCTCAGAGAGCGACCCGGAGGTTATGCGGAGCCATTGGATGCAAGCGTCGAAGGAGGAAACGTTGATCACCCTGAAGTGAGAGACCAATGCCATTCTCAGGTTACAGAACTAAAACTCACGATCAAAGCTCTGAATAAACAAGTTGAAGATATGAAGGAGGAGCTCCATCGACTAGTTGAAGAAATGAAGGAGAAAAAAACAACTTTTTCAAAGAAGCGTTTCAGCTAACAGGAGAAAGTGAGAGGAGGAGATATGGACTGTTTAGAAGCAAAGAGGATCTGGAAGAATTGAAGCAAAATCTTCACTACTTAAGCGTTGACGGGAAAACGCTATCTGCGTTGACGGGAAAACGCTATCTAGGTCTCAGATCACGACGTTGGCGAAACTTCCGTGGTTGTCGTACTATAGAAATCTCCACCAAGCCTTACGCCGATTTCCTCCGCTGCAACCTTTGCAACAGGGAAACTGTTATACAGGAATATGACCCGGACCCAGATCATGCTAAATGTGAGCAATCTATACGCAGGAACGACGGTAAACTTCGAACGAATGCATTGGGAAGAGGCTCTGTAATGTGCTTTCAGAAGTATGGGGGACGGGTTCTTCATCGAAAAAGAGCATCAATGTTTCTCTGAACAGAAGGGCTCATCAGAGTACGTCGGAGCACGAAGCAAACTTCCAAGAATACATCGCAACGGCGAAAGCGCTAGAAACTCGCGTGCCGCAGGTCGTGGAAGGTACTGTCTCATCTACTCTTGCCGCTTACACTATTGCAAAAGAAGGGCTATCTTTCAAGAAGCAATTTTCCCTTATGCTTATGGGATTACGCGCAGGAGCAGCACCAGCCACAGCACACTTTGATTCCTTGTCAGCACGGAGTATGGTGAAAACCTTTGCACGCCACATGAAGTACGAGATGCTAAAGTACTTGATGGACAACAATATGCCATTCTCCTTACTTGCTGATGGCACTTCCAATGAAGGAATCAAATGGATCAATTTTCTCATTCGAACAATCTCTCCGCAAAATCGACCCATCACATTCCATTTTGCGTTGGTACGAGTAGAAAGTGAGAGGGCGGACGATATCGCCGACGCGCTTACTAGTTATTTGGAGGATCTTGAATCATGGAAGACTAGTCCCGGCTTGAATGATACTCCCTATGCTTTTTTCATGAAACGAATGGTAGCACTTTCCTCTGACGGCGCCTCTGTAATGACAGGAGCTTCCGGTGGAGTTCATAGAAAGCTGCAAGGTCTTATCATTCAAGAGACACAGAGGAGCGGAAGCGGTCGAGTAAACTTCCTCCTCTCCGTATGTGCAGCACACAAACTAGATTTGGCGGTGAAGGGGCAGAAAGGAAGCGTTTTCAAATTCACACAGGTCCTTGTATCGGAATTGCACTCTCTGTTCACCTCGGCACGCGGTCGCGCCGCTTATTTTGCAGCGGCAAAGGATATGGGGTTTCCCCTTCTGAAAATGGACGCCTTGCACAGGCTAGCCTGCAGAACTCTATTTCGAAGCTGCTCCGCGTTTACCCAGTTTTGATCCAAGCTTCAGAAAGATTAGCTAAGGACAGCTCCGCTTCTCCAATCACGAAAGAACGAGCTACAGACGCAGAATTTATCTTGAACGATGGTCGAATATTCATCACCCTACATCACGTCAATGCAACACTTTCGTATCTCGCTAGACTGTCCGAAGCTCTGCAGGACGAAGAGGCTCTTATGGTAGATTACCTATCACGCTGGCGACACCTGGATTCCCTTCTTGAACATGAAGCATTGAAAGACGACGTCTATGATTACCTCGCCCATTGTGGGTTCCTCTACATGTGGGATCATGAACGACACAAGTTTGTGGACGCTGATCTCAATTTCCTCAAGAATTATTATACACCTTATTCCACACCACATAGTACTGCGGTAGATGGACCTTCAGAGAACTTCCTCGCCTACAATCCTTCCATGTTCTCAGATTTCAGCTTGAAAGGAAGTGGACAAAATGGAAGAGCTCCACCGAATGAACACAGCCCACTTGAGAAGGATACAGTTCTTTAGAAATGTCAACACAGGCTACTCACCGGGTGAACAAGGCTCTACCGATCTGCGGCGATTATTACCTGGACATCACTGCTTTTACCTAAACCAGAAGCTCAAATCAACCAGTTCTACAACGATCTTCGGACAAGCTTTCGCCACCATATGACTCCCAGCAAGTATCCCACGGAAGCACACAAATATTTTCCATACGCTTTAGACAGGCATATCATATTAGACATCATCGAATGCAACGGAGATTACGAGGCACTCAAAAATTGCGAGGTGTTACAGCAGCAAGCCGGGGTTACCCTGAATATGTGGACGAGGAGGGAAATGTGGATAAAGGCAAGCGTGATAGACTCATTCTGATGTCCATCACCGACATTCAGGAAAACTGCTCCCTGCCTGAAGCCCGTGGCCCATTCTTTGACTTCTACAACTCAATTGCAAGAACGGCGCGCACATCGAACACATGGCCAACCGATCTCCGCAGCGACAAAAACAGTATTCGACTCTACAAAACACTTCTTGACAACGGTGAAGCGTTGAAAATTCCTCATGTCGTTCAACAGGTGAGACTCTTCACATAAATCCCTGTTGGGAAACTTCACTTCCTAAATAATTTTTAGGCTATAAAATGCTTTCTCGTTATTCCTGCGAGCAACGCAGATCCGGAGCGTAGTTTTTCTACCGCCAACAGGCTCTCCAGAGGCGAACGCAGCAACCTGAAAACCGAGACCTTGGACGATCTCATGGTGTGAGTTCTTGACTTTTTACCCTTTGTCATCTTTCAGCTCTTTCCTAGAATAGTTTGTGGGTTAATCATTATCGAAATGGACCGAGTGTTCTCACTGTTAAACCCAGAAACTTAGTACATCAATGGACGAACCCGCGTCCCGGCTTAAAGCTGAAGCCTCACTTGCCTTCCTCAACTGAGAGGCAGGGTAGTCTCATGAAGGAAATAAAGGACTCCTTATGGCGAGGTACCTCTGCTCTGCAATTTATCTGCTTTTCCATCTAGCCTAACTTAGTAATTTTAGATGATAAACACAAGCTCGTGGATCTTTATGCCACACATTCAATGTCGGTACAAGGATCAAGTGAAAGTGAAGCCGCCGACGCGCAACATCAGTCAAAAAAGACCAAGAAATGTCAAGAGCAATGATTTTTTCTTCGGGCATACTCCATGATCCCGATGAAGACAAACAATAAACCTTCCATTGACTTTGCATTGCTATCGAATACGTTCTCGTGGTAGTGGTATCACACGACTGAACCTGAAAGAATATTACACCATGTTTTCTCACATATCTTCGTTTTCTGCTGCGCTGCACCCTCTTACCTATCTGCACCACGATACCACTGCTGTTACTGACCCCCAAGAGTACGACCCCCCATGACCCAGCCCAACAGGTACGACCCCCCTGTCGAGGATTTCCTCGACCGATATTCACCCTGCTCCGAAGTATACTGAAAATGACATCAGCTCCTCATTTTTCCGCATAAAAATCCAAGCTGACGATCAAGACGGCGAAATAATGGAAACCTTCGTGACCGCATCAATCACAGGATCACATACATCAGACAAACCGAAAGAATTGCTCTCTCGTTATAGCAGCAAAACAAAAGTTCTGAGGATAATCGCATATGTCATCAAATTCATTAGACATGCCACAAAACGACTACAAGCTTCGTCAAGGAACAAATTGCAACCTTATCTGAGACACATTCACACTCGGTCCCAAGAAAATCACCTTACCGCCTCCTACATTCAGGACTCTCATCGTGAAATAATCAGAAACCACCAAGCTGTCCAAGAGAGGACAACAACCTTCTCATACGAGCATGCTGGACGCCTTAACAAGTCGGATCTGGACGAAGAGACCAAAAACCCTCTTCTCGTCTTACCTAATACAGAGCTGTCTCGTCTCATAATTCTAGAAGCACACGGAAAGTATCACAAAAATGTTGGACACACAATAGTGGAAGTAAGGCATCTATACTGGATTCCACGGCTCCGCGAGCAAGTCAAGAAGTGCATCAGATCATGTGTACCATGTCAAAAGATGAACAGTTTGCCTTATAAATATCCTGAGATGACGGATCTTCCGAAATATCGAGTAACAAGATCACGACCATTCCAACATACAGGTCTGGACTATTTCGGTCCTATTCCCATCTACGGAAACAACATGGAACGCATGGAAGCTCATGGGTGCATTTTTACATGCTCAGTAACTCGACTTGTTCATTTGGAAATTGTGCCTAATGCTACGACGAAAACTTCTTGAATGCATTTCGTCGCTTCGTCGCTCGACGAGGGAAACCAGAGCAAGTGATCTGTGACAATGCCCCCATATTCATCCTTGGGAGTCAAATCATAAACGACAGCCTCAGCAATGATCCAACGGATGAAGACGTCCATCGAGAAATGAGCAATCAACTAATTGAATGGAAGCACATAACGCCTCATTCGCCTTGGAAGGGCGGCTTCTACGAGCGTCTCATCAGATCAATCAAACAGGCACTATACAAGGCAATAGGAAGACGAATACTTACAATGGAACAGCTTCAGACATTCCTCACCGAGATCGAAGGCTGCATCAATAGTAGGCCACTCACCTACCAAGAAAGCAGTATCAACGACGTCCTACGTCCATTACGCCCTATAGACTTCATTCAACGAGAAATCAATCTCGACATGTCATGGAAACTCCCTGAGGAAGAGCGCACAGATCCAACCTTCCTTCCGGCATCGGAATCCAAGCTCGAAAGGCACTCCAGTCCCCCTGCGACTTAACAGAAAGATATTGGGATAATTGGAGAACGCATTACCTCACAGCTCTACGAGAACAACATCGTCAGAACATCGATAACAAGCGTGGGAGTATCATAAAGATAGAAGAAGGACAGGTCGTACTCTTGGTAGACCCGCTCATGAAAAGAAACCACTGGAAGCTTGCTCGTATCACGAAATTAATGCAAAGTCAAGACGGAGAAGTAAGAGAAGCGCAGGTCATCAGCAACGGAAAAACTTTCAGACGCTCGGTGAACCACTTAGTACCTCTCGAAATTCAAGGAAACAGCGGCAAGTTAACTTGGATTCCCCGGAAAGTCAGTCAAACACGCAACATTCGCCACCGGAAAACATTAATCCGCACTACAACTTGCGCCCCAGGAAATCACTCACTCATCATGCCGAAGCACAACATGTGCAGAGTTTGCAAATAAGGAAGTCGACCCCAACGTGGCCGCCTTCACTGTATCTGAAGATGGCCCTAATGCTATCAGTCTTCACGATACTGCATGGAGAACATCCCACTCAGAAAATTGTTGAAGTAAATTCAGGCCACCAAAGCCAGTACATGAATCGAGGAGTATATTTCCTTCACCACAGAAAAGAACCACAGAGGGGTGCACATCATCACAGCTTCATAGAAGAAGTATCAGTGCATCAAAATCTGCGTTCCTTATGCCTTAAGCCAGAAAGTCGAATTCATGCAACATCTTGTCGCTATGCATGGAAAACCTTTGGTTTAGGACATTACATCCAATCTCAAGAAACAGGAATAAGCACCATTTTCTTCTACCATTGTTGTACATGGAATCACATTCAGTGCATTATGTACATTTTTTACGGGCATCACTCAGATCTGTTGCCAAAGAGAGTGCAAAAAACATTCTAAAAGGAGTTCTCACCAAGTTAAGGATGTTACATTACTAACCAAAACGGATAAATTAAGTTCATTTAAACAAATTTTGATACTCTACTTGACAACACACTCAGCGCATTATGTTACAGA